CAGGTTCAACTGCTACATCATTATCATTACTAGGTTGAGCATCATCATGAACATCATCATTAACATTTTCACTAGGTTCATGTTCATTACCAGATTGTGTTTCAGCATCAGACATAGAGATATCATTTGGATTATCAGGTGGTTCGGCAATAGGTTCACTAGAAGTTTGCACAGTTCTATCATGTTTCCTTTTCTTCCTTTTAGAAGAGCTAGGTGCATCAATATTATTTCTTTGAGAATCTTGCTCGATTCTCTTAGGGTGGCCTTCAGGATACAAAGGTTCCTGAGTCATTCTACCAGTTCTAGTAGCCACTCTAACAGCATAATCATTTTTCTTACTATTCATTTCATCAAGCATTTCTTTCTGAGCTTTAAGTACTTGTTCTACTTGAGTGGTAACCATAGAAGCATGTTTGCTAACAAGTTTAAGTTCACCTCTAATATTATCCATATAATCACTCAAGAATTTAATCATAAAGGTATTCTGCTTTAATTGTCTACCAAAATAAGCATTAAAGTCATCTTGCTTAAACATAAAGTCATCAAACTCATCCAAGCACTGACTAGCAATTTTAGTAGGAGGGACTTCAACTTTATCATATCTATAGAGAGAATTTACCTTTACTACCTGTGTCGGGATATCGGGAGGTTCTTCAGTAAATAAGTAATTGAGATCTTCAGCTTTAATACCTTTTTCTTCAGTAAATACTTCTTCAACAGGCGGTAAATTAAGACCATGTATTTCTTCAATAGGAGGTAAATTCTTAACATCTTCAGCTTTAATACCTTTTTCTTTCATAGATTTCTTTGCCTCTTGCATATCTTCGGGACTGAGAAATAGAACACCTCTCTTCTTCGGAGTTGGTTTAGGAATAGGCTCAGTAATTGGCTCAGGAGCTGGCTCAGGAGTTGGCTCGGGAGGTGCCCAATTATTTTCATTTGCCAACATATTATTCAATAAAATTTCAGCGTCATTCGGTGTTCTTTCCCTGAAAAGAGAACCAGCACAACTATCCAGGTAATCTCTGGAAGCATCAGTTAGTCCATTATAAAAGATATCAAATATTTCAGGTTTCTTAAGAGGATGATCACGCAAAGCATTAAGTAACTTGAGAAGCCTCCCCCAAGCTTGTGGGAGACTCTCTTCTTCAATTTGCACAAAATTGTATATTTCCCTCAAAGCAGCTTGTTTCTTATGAGCAGGGAAATATTTAGCAGAGAAGTAATAAATCATATCCTGGGGACTTTGCACATAGGCAGGATCAAGAGAATTAAACCATTTCTTAGCATTACCCTTTAATGAGAACGGAAATATTTTGAGTATATAAAAGTGGCGCGATCTCAGATTATTAGTAAACAGGGCAGCTATTTCATCTAACTTACGAAGATGTGCCACAACAGTTTCAGATTCATAGCCATAAAAAGGATCAGATTCAGCCCAAGTAATTATATCTGGATCAACAGTAATATCATAATAATCCTGATCAGGAACACAGATAGGTGAAGTAGCAAAAGCAGGGTCGGGTCTCATCCTACCTCTAAAAGATTCCTTACTCCACTTAATTGGTAACCTCTTACGTTCAGGTTTATCCGGACAAGCAAGAATAGCTTCATAAGATTCATTATTAAAAAGATAACCCTCAGGAATAACAGGCATAGGTTCATCATCACTAACATCATCGTGTTCAGGTTCACTAATTTCTCTTTCTCTAGACTTAGAAAGTTGCTCATCTAGAAATTCACCAAGTGGCACAATAGTATCAAGCATAGAAGTAGTTTCATCATAAGTATCATGCATAGCAGAAGTGGCATCATCAATAACATGCGACATATCAGAATTCATAGCAGTAGTAGGTTTAGGTGTCGCTAGCTTACTCATAACAGAAGGTGAATCAAGTGCAGAGCTAGATGGCAGTTCCTTACCTCCCCTCGTAGTTGAGGGATAAATTTTTGTCTTAGCGTCTTTCAAGTTCTTCACAGTGTCCAGCAGATATAAATCCCAAGTGACTCAAAGAATAGAGCTATGCTCCCCGGCAACGTCGCCAGAAAAAGGTCTTGATAACCCACAAGTATAGGGGATCGCAACAGTTTTCGAGGGTAGAGTATTCAACCCAAATTTGTTGATTCGACACAAGGGGAGCCAAAGAATATTCTCAAGTATTAGCAGCTGAGTTGTCAATTCAACCACACCTGGAAACTTAGTATCTGCAGCAAAGTGTTTAGTAGCAAAGTAATATGATAGTGGTGGTAACGGTAACAAAGTAAAGACAGCAAAAGTAATATTTTTGGTATTTTTGTAGTGATTGTCACAGTAGCAACGGAAAAGTAAATAAGCGTAAACCAGTATATGGAAAACTCGTAGGCACCGGATCAATGATGGATAATTATGTCGGATGTGGTTCATCATGTAACAGTCATAACATAGGGTGACACAGAACTAGCTCCAGTTCATTAATATAATGTGGGCATGTATGCCGTAAATAGTCATACGTGCTTATGGAAAAAAACTTGCATGACATCTTTTGTCCTACCCTCCCGTGGCAGCGGGGTCCTATTGGAAACTAAGGGATATTAAGGCCTCCTTTTAATAGAGAACCAGAACAAAGCATTAACACATAGTGAATACATGAACTCCTCAAACTATGGTCATCACCAGGAGTGATCCTGATTATTGTCACTTCGGGGTTGCCGGATCATAACACATAGTAGGTGACTATAGACTTGCAAGATAGGATCTAGAACTCACATATATTCATGAAAACATAATAGGTTCAGATCTAAAATCATGGCACTCGGGCCCTAGTGACAAGCATTAAGCATAGTGGATACTAGGGATCAAACCCTAACAAAACTAACTCGATTACATGATAAATCTCATCCAACCCATCACCGTCCAGCAAGCCTACGATGCAATTACTCACACACGACGGTGAGCATCATGAAATTGGTGATGGAGGATGGTTGATGATGACGACGGCGACGAATCCCCCTCTCCGGAGCCCCGAACGGACTCCAGATCAGCCCTCCCGAGAGAGATTAGGGCTTGGCGGCGGCTCCGTATCGTAAAACGCGATGAAACTTTCTCTATGATTTTTTTTCTCCTCGAAAGCCAATATATGGAGTTGGAGTTGGCGTCGGAGGGCCACCAGGGGGCCCACGAGGTAGGGGGGCGCGCCCCCATCCTCGTGGACAGGGTGTGGGCCCCCTGGTCTTCATCTTTGGCGAGGATTTTTTATTATTTATTTTAAGATATTCCGTGGAGTTTCAGGTCATTCCGATAACTTTTGTTTTCTGCACATAAAACAACACCATGGCAATTCTGCTGAAAACAGTGTCAGTCCGGGTTAGTTCCATTCAAATCATACAAGTTAGAGTACAAAATAAGGGCAAAAGTGTTTGGAAAAGTAGATACGACGGAGACGTATCAGAAAACAACTTCGTTATACTAATATGAATCTAGGGCAAATTTTACAATAGCAAAATCTTGTTTAAGTTGGTTAAACGGATAGAGGGTTTCGAGACAAAACTCCAGGCGCTTGAATCGTCTGATTCCGATAAACGAGCGAAAAGTTATACTAAAATGAAAATCGAATCAGGAATCGCGATCAGAAAAATCACAGATTTAATCCGAGAAAAAGAAGAACGACGAACGTTCGCTAGAACGAACGAACGAACGAACGCTCACTATTTAAATAAACCGAAAAAACCGATCTATTAAAAAAACCGAGACTAGAAAAAAACCGACGGAAAAACCAAACGGTTTTTCGAAAAAAAATAAAAAAACCGGTGCGAATTTCGAGGCAGCGGCGGGTCGGCGGCGGCGGCGGTGGCGTGAGCTGGCGGCTAGGGCTGGGGCGGCTTAGGGTTTGCCCCGGGTGGGCTGCCCCGGCTTATAAAGCCTGCCGGGCTAGAGTCCCAGGCGGACACGGCCCGATTAGGTCGGTGCGCGTTTTTTTTTAAATAATTACGCGCAGAAGAAAAATAAAAAAAATACTAAACAGACTCCAAAAATTCCGAAATAAATTTTAACGGGCTTCTAAAATCAAGTCGCACAAGGTGAACATTTATTTTGGACCTATATGCAATTTTGAAAAACGCACATTTTTCCTAAATTCAAATAAAACACCGAAAAACTCCGAAATAAAATCTTATTTGATTTTATTATTTGATCCTCAATATTTATTCATTTTGGGAAAGTCATTTTATTCCCTCTCTCATATTTTTATAATAGAAATAATTGATGATAAAATAAATAAAATCAAATGATCCTATTCTCAAAATTTGAGAAAAACTCAAATATGAAAATAACGAAATCCCCAACTCTCTTTGTGGGTCATTGAGTTGCTTAGGATTTCTAGGATCAACCAAAATGCGAAATAAAATATGATATGCAATGATGATCTAATATATAACATTTCAAATTGGAAATTTGAGATGTTACAATAGGGTTGAAGCTTTTCATGTCAACAATTGCAACTTTTTCGTTGTGTACTCGTGGGGGTGAAGCTTTCTATAGAGTTGGTTGAAGCTTTCTATAAAGCGGGTTGAAGCTTTTCAATTCATGGTTGAAGCTTTCCAAAACGACAGTTGTAGCTTTTTTTTTCTTTCGTAGTGTTCGCATGAAACTTAACTATTTCGTCGGCTGAAGCTTTTTCGAATACAATTTGAAGCTTTCACATGAACGGTTGTAGCTTTTTCATTTTATATGGGTGGTCTGTTGAAACTTTTGCAAACTACGATCGAAGCTTTCGACCGTGCCAAATGAAGCTTTTTTCACCTAAGCTTGAAGCTTTTTTCACAAAAGGTTGCAGCTTTTTACTCTGCGGTTGCAACAAAAACACAGAGAGACGCCATGGTCGTCGTCGAGGAGGATTTCTCAATCTCTGTTTGAAGCTTTTTCATCTGCGGGTTGAAGCTTTTTGTCAAACGGTTGTAACTTTTCCTGTATTTCATTGTCTGGTTGAAGCTTCTTTATCTACTGGATGTAGCTTTTTGTGTCCATGGTTGTAGCACGAGAAAACGCCGTTTGCAACTCTCCCAGTACCGTTGTTGCGGCTCCTCCCTGTGGCCATGGTTGTAGCACGGGCGCCTTGGTCCTCCCCGCGTTTGGCCTGTCGCCGGTTGCAGCAAAAAGGGAAGAGAGGAGGAGGAAAGGGGAGAGAGGGAGAAGGAAGAAGGGTACCTGTTGTTGCCGTGATCGAGGGAGGGTGGGCGGCAGCGGAGAAGTGGGCAAGGGCACTGAGATTGGAGGTAGGGACCTGCACGGGATTGGGGCTGGCCGGCGGCGAGATCCGAAAGATGAAGACGAGGGCCAGCAGCGCGCAAGGCTGAGAGGGAAGGAGGGGATCGGGAGGAAGAAGAAAGTGGGAGAAGATAAGGTGGGCCAGGGCGATGCGGGAGGCGTACGATGGGGGGCTGATCGCGTGGCTCGCGAGCGACCGGCCGAATCGTTCGGCCGGCGCACCGCGCCGAAACGTTTCCCATAAAAATATGGGGAGAGTTTCTCAAAAACAAAATTGAGAGGAATTGCCAGGCGACCCTGTCAAACCCTTTCACGATGTCAGAGTCCGACCTCTACTAAAGGATATATACGGCACACACACGACCTTTCAATAAAAAAGGAAAACGAGCGCACCAAACCAAACCAGCGTGTCAAAGCCATCGACCAGACCTGCACAAGTTTCGCTCGTATCAGCACCTGGTGAAGTCTCGGCGTCTCGGTCTACCGTCCGACGTCCATCGCACAGTGCCGTATTCGATGGCCTACCCCCTCGTCCTGTCCCCCGGGAGGTTCGCTCTCGCCGCCGCCACGCGCGTTGTGGCGGCTCCGCCCGCTTCTTCCCCCCCTGCGCGCGTCTGTCTCCTCGCGCCCGCCCGCACGCCCCGCCTGGCGCGCTCGACGACGGTGGTGAGCATTGCATTAGCACATTAACTCCTCTCTTCCTTCAATGATGTTCTTCTCCGAGCTGAGCCCGATCGTGACTAACTGAGCAGGGGCCCTTGCGCGCGCACGCGCGCCTGAGATTCAAGCAGCGCGCTCCGGCGGACGACGGCGCCGCCGCCAAGGAGGCTTGCCCGCGCGACCCAGCGGATAAAGAGGGCGTCGCGGAGACCGACCCGTACGCCAAGCTGTGGCCGTGGGGGGACTACTTCCCCGACGAAGACGAATTACGCCGGGAGGACTTCGCCACCATGCAAGAACGGTTCTCGCGCGAATCTACGGAGGCGGTCGCGGCGCTAAAAGCCATGATCGCCGGCGTGTTCCGTCCACTCCTGGACAACTTCCACCATCTCCGGTCCCTGAAGACCGTCTACGACACGGAGGACTACCACATCGGCATGCCCTTCGGTACATAAGCCTATGTGTATCTCCTAGATAGTACTAGGATCAATAGCTTTTTATGTGATCTGACGAGGTCTTTGTTCAGGAGCGTTGGTCGCCTGCGTCGGGTGCTATCAACTGTGGAAGATGGATCCGTCCATGTTTGTCAGCACCGCTCTCGGCTATGCGTTCTACAAGCTCAGCGTTGTCTCGTTGGAGCTCCGGAAACAGGGCTTTGCCAATGACCTCATCACCCGACTTAAATTTGGTTAGTTGTTATCCAGGCCTCATATACACACATAATAATTTTCAAAACCAAACTTCTGTGGGTTAATTTCGTTGTTTGTTTTAACCTGTGCAGTTATCATGCTCCTCATCATGGCCGTAACTTACAATAAAAAATATTCTCCACTTGATGCTATCATGTGAGTTCCATGTTTGTCTTCTTTTTTACTACATTGTCGTTGGCAGAACTTGTTTGGTTGTTTACTGGCACATGGTGCCTGTTTTTATGCTCTATCATTATTATTGACAATAGAATTATCTCTCCCACTTTTGTAACACAGGGCGCCTGTTTTTATGCTCTATTCATTGACATTTGCTTGTGAAGTGACTGGCGTCAAGAAGCAGTTCAAGTATGCTGTGCCGCTACTTAACATAATGCTAAGGCACCCAGAAGGAAGACGGGAGCTACGCGCAATGTTGTCTGAGGTTGAACTTGAACTTGTATCAGAGTGTGGGATCGTGGTCTTATAAAACCAGTTATGTAAACGTGCTTTTATAGTGCCACTTGTAGAATCCTACACTTGGGGCGTTAATATTTTTGTTACCGTAGTAAGTTGTTTCATTTATATTGCACATTCATGAAACTGTGTCAAATACGTATAGTTGTTGCGCTATAGCCAGATTGTAATTACCGGAGCTTGAACTTGTATCAGAGTGTGGGATCGTTGTCTTATAAAACGCGTGAGGATATTAAATCGGTCTTGGAAGTGGAAACCGTGACATCTGAGAGCAAGTATTTGGGACTTCCGACCCTGGAAGGAAGAATGAAGGATGGAAGTTTTCAGCTGATCATGGATAAATTGGGAAAAAGATGTAACAATTGGACTGAAAGATTTTTGTCTTATGCTGCAAAAGAGGGAGACTGGGTTTTCTCCCATGCACGGGATATGTACTCCCTCCGTTCCGAAATATAAGTTTTTTTAGACATTTTAAATGGACTACAACATACAGATGCATGTAGACATATTCTAGAGTGTAGATTAACTCATTTTGCTCCGTATGTAGTCACCTATTGGAATCTCTAGAAAGACATATATTTTGGAACGCAGGGAGTACAATACCTCACCTGTCCTGTCAGATACGCATTGAAATTGTGGGTCAGCATTAATACGGGAACATGGATACATGTTCGTTTAGGCCCAACAATGCAATAGTTATCCCCCTCTCCAACCTTCGAGTATGTTGTACGGATCCATTATTCCCCATTGCTGCTTTGATGCCGACCTTCTTCCTCCTCCCATCACCCATCATGGAAAAACATGTAGAAGTCTCAAACATATGTATACAATATAGCGGCTAGTAATGTGTTGTTGGACATATTAAAACAATTTAACTAACTACTAATTGTTTATAAACACAATTTCTTTACATGACCTCACCTCAAACAGATGTTTCGTACATACAGGCAAAGTTGGGACGGAGCAAAGAAGGTGATGAGAGGACAAGCAGGAGAAACAATGAGACTTTGGGGCACAGAGAAGAAGTTGCGGGACAGGTGGGAAGCCCAACGCGGCATGGCATAAAGTGCATTTATGACTAACATGATACGAGCTATATATTAATTCAAGGAATAGCAAATACATCATGTATAGGAAGAAGGGTAGTTTGCATGCACTCGGATCTCCAACTAGATCAACGATAGATGCATGCACGGGACCTTCCATGCATGGCAGAATCGCTTTTCTCGCTAAAGAGGTACATATTAACTTAGTGGTACAAGCTCTCCCAACCTTCACCATGGGAATTTTCTTACTGTCCAAAGGATTCTGCGAAAAATATGAGAGAATGGTAAGAGATTTTTGGTGGGGAGATGAAGAAGGACATTGGAAAGTGCACTGGATGTCGTGGGAACGCATGACTAAACATAAAAGAGCACGAGGGATAGGTTTTAGGGACATGCACCTTTTTAACGTTGCATTACTAGCCAGACGGGGGTGGAGGCTCATCCAACATCCTCACAGTTTGTGTGCGACGGTGCTTAGGTCAAAGTATTACACAAAAGGTGACATGTGGTCCTCGGATGTGTCACCTGCTTGGAAAGGATTTGAAAAAGGACTGAAGCTCGTAAAGAAAAGGATCATATGGAGAGTACGAAACGGAAGAAGTATTTACACTAGTGGAAAAACGGCTAGTCACAACTTTCGTTGGGGGCGTCATTTTCCATCAACACTAACACTGTTTTTTCAAATAGTGCTGGCGGACAGCATAATTAGCACGTCAGCTTTACATGTTGGGTCCCGATAACTGCCACACGTGTGGTGTATCAGGTAGTTGTGCCACACGCCTCGTGTGGCATGGACAGGAACCAGCCCGCACGACCGCGTTTGGGCGCGCAAAGGCACGGCTCACACGTCCGGTGTGTGGCAACCCCGCCCGCACGTCCGGGCCAGAGGACCCAACAGCCCGCATGACCCAGCCGTCCCGGCCTCTGATCGATCCCCAATCCCGACTGCCGCCATCTTCTCCCACCTCCCGAACCCCTACCTCCATCGCCGGCCTTCTCTGGTTGCCATGGCAACCAGAGCAGATCCGTAGGGCCTTCCCACCGCAAACCACACCCCTTATCTCCCCCACCCCACCCCCTCCACCCCCACCCCCACTCCAACAACGCCCTCCAAAGACGACCAGCTAAAAGCAGGTGAATCTCCCGATCTCCCTACTGCTTCTCATCCTTCTTCTGGGCAGAAAATTGCAAAATTACCGACGAAGTTGGCAACTAGATCCATCCTACAGGGGTAAAACACTACATAGGTTGTGTGTCTTCACAGTTGCCAAGCAGAATACACTAGATCTGCCATGTACTACGCTAGAGATAACCGTAAGTTCTCAGTAGATTGATGCACGTAGTTGGTAAATGAATGGATGTGTAGGAATCCATAAAAAGGGAGAGAAAATTGAGAAATTTGGAATAATGGGGGGTGTGAAAATTAATTGCCACTGGTGTCTAACGTCAGTTGCCACCTATCATTGTCGTCAACTGCCACCATGTCAACTTATTGCTTGTCATCCTATTGTAGAGGTTGATACCATCGAATCAAACGGATAGCTAGCACCCAGATTTTAGAAAAGATAGTGGATGTGCATGTCCTACTAGCCATGATATGTTGGTTGCCTACGCATGAAAATGTGATAACACTGACGTGTTAACTTCTACATGCAAGAAGCACAAGGATACATTTTTTGTGGATTGTTGATGCATTCTTGTTCATGAAGTGATTGAGAGCACATTGGCAGAAACGAGACGCGGAAAAGAATGAATCACAAAGATGACGCTGATACTTGGGGTTCTCAAAGACCAGAAATGCCCCCTTGGGATGCATCAGAGTACAGTCAACTCATTTCTGCAGGGTCGTTGCTGCCACTACTAGAACATTATGCGGGCATTGGTATGATGCGTGATAACAAAAGAAAAGAACATTTGCCATGTTCGCGACGATGAAGATGACATTCTACTTATGTCCTACACTGTCATTTTTTCGCAGGTTCTTATGACCAAAACACACTCAGGGGGGCTCCGTGGCAAGTTCAGTCACATGGCGCTAACACTGACAAATGTACGGGCAGCCAACTTCAACTAGCTAATATGGCTAATCAAGGTAACGCATACGAAAAAGAACACATACTGGTCTGGACATGAAAAATAAACTTGCAAAGGTTGGCAAAAGACTCACGAGTTATGTCGGGGGAAAGCGCAGAGCCTTCATGCAGCACGTGGCAGCAGGCAGCACCCATGTACCTGTCATCGACGTCATACACAGGTGAGTCCATAAAAAGTGAAGTTGCGGACGGTGAATTAGCAGAAGGAGCATAGTTGACAACTGCAGTTGCCATGACTGGACAACTGCAATTGCCATGAATTAATAACTGCAGTTGTCATCCCTGGACAATTGTAGTTGCCATGGAGGAACAACTGTAGTTGCCATGCCAGGACAACTGCAGTTGCCATGTATTGACCAACTACTACGATGCTTACAGGTTATTACGGTGGTGGTGCCCCGGCAAACGTCTCGTGGCAAGCTTCACAGATTGCAGATAGAGCACGTCAATCTGGTGTGACAGACCACACAAGATGGGCACATGCAGCACAAAAAGGTAAGGAAAAAATTGAACCACAAAAGAGCACTACATTTGTTTTTGTGGCAAATAGCACGTGACAAAAAAGAAGATTTGTATCAGTGATGGTGGAAAAAATCAAGCATAAAACGCTAACAAGTGGTTATGTGCAATGAGTCATATATTGTCTTTGGAAATTTGCCAACTGCTAGAAGCATGTGTGCAGCACTAATGGTTGATCGCATTTGCCTAGTGAGCTCAAGCCTAGAATGCAAAGTTTTGATGCTAGAACACACTGGTTGCCATGTATTGGTAGCAGTATTTGCCATGTATGCAGGACTGTAGCTGCCATGCATATAGAATCCAAGTTTTCATACTAAAAAGGAGCTGGTTGTCGTGCATTGGCAAACAATAGTTGCCATGTTTGTTGGACTATAGCTGCCATGACTGGACAACTACAGTTGCCATGCATGTCCACATGCAGACTCACGCCTTGCTGTTTGAATGATGTCATGCCAAATCACTTGAAGTTGATGTGATCCGTTACAATAAACATGTTATTCAAGCAAAATCTTACGCTCGTACCTGTTTTTTCTATTACAGGGCCTACAACTACAGTGAACAACGGCGTAGGGACATCTACTGTGGGGAGCTCTGAGCGCACGGAAGACGTGTTCCACCAGCCATCCAACAATCATGCCGCAAACAATGCTGAGTCAGAGTCGGAAATGGCAATCATTCCAGCAATGCTGACAGGCACCCCTTTGAACACAAGCACTGGCAACACTCAAGTAGATGAAACTACCGCCGATACTGAAGTGAATGATGAAACTGATGACGAAGCACAAGGGGATGAAGATGGTGGGAAATCGGAGATCATGGTACCTCAGCCACCGTACATTGGGCAGAGATATGAATCATTCGCAGAAGCAAAGGAATTCTACCAGACATATGTAAAGTTCCATGGGTTTGCGGTCAACACCGAATACCATAGGAAAATTAAGAAAACTAACGAGTACAAAAGAGGTGAGATGAGGTGCCACAAGGCACGAAGGAATAAGAAGGGGAAAGGTGTTGCGCCTGTCGTTCCGGAACGAAAGAGAGGTATCATTCTCAAGACCGAATGCCCTGTCCGATGTAAGCTAAACGTAGATGGAGCACAGTGGGTGGTCACCGAATATTTTGACGAGCACAACCACAAACTCATAAAGAAGTTTGACCTGGTAAAATTTATGACCGCCCACAGAGGATTCACCCCCCTCGAGAAGAAATTCATAAAGCTGCTACATGATTGTAACGTCGGTCCATCAAGAATGGTCCAGATACTATCACTCATCCACAGCAAAGAAGGGACTCTGAGTAGCATGCCCTACATACCAGCTGACGTCACAAACCTAAAGGCAAAGTACCATAGAGAG